GGTGTGTGAAGCAGAAACAGTGGCAACAAAGTGATAGACGACAGAACGAGTGAGTGAGTGAATGAGTGAAGGCTCTCAATTCGGTCTTCTCTGCCGCCGCCGCCACCACCGAAATCGGGCTGCCGTCTGGCAATCAAGCGGCAATCGATTCGGCTTGTCACAGTTTTGTCCATTCGAGCCGCCACCGATCTGAAGAGCGAGGGGGCTGCTGCTGCTGCTGCTGCTGTTTTGCTGTAGCAGTTTCAATTTACTGCCTCAGTGCCAGTGACACCATCGCCGTCGCCGCCGCCGCTGCCGCTGTTCATCGCCCAAACACTCCTCCTACTCCTCAAACAAGCAGACAGAGAGATCAGTGGAGGGGAAGTACTCTCGTCGTCGTCGGAAACAATGGCCAAGTGCCTACTCAGCCTCTTTCTCTTTTCTCTCTTTCCTTCCTTCTCCATCTTCACCAGTGCCCCTTTCCCACTACAGTGCCCCGATAGCCCCAAGTACAGACAAAGGTCCCCGCACTACTAAGTACACACAACTACATTACCGCTGGTGAAGCAGAAAAAGTAGCAGCAGCAGCAGCAGCCTCTGCTACTCGATCTGTCAGCTTAGCGGCTGAGCTCTAATTGGAATTGCGCGCTATGCAGAAGCAGCAGCAGCAGCAGAATCAATAGAATAGGAATAGGACTGGCCAACTTTTTTTCGCTTTCTGGCTGTGCCAAATTCGCTCGACAGTCGTCTTTAGCTAAAGAGAGAGAGAGAGAGAGAGAGAGAGAAAGTTTCCTTCTGCTGGTGATGGCATAGCTAATGAGAAGCAATTAAGTGGCAATTAACAGAGTGCTGACCAAGAACAAGAACAAGAACAAGAACTGTGCACCAGCAGCAGCAGCTGAAAAAACAAGTCTGCCCGGAGAACACGGCCACAGTGTGAGCACAGGGATTAACAGTGCGTCTCGCTGCAACAAAAAAGAATTCTGGGCAGCTCTGTCAGTCTCACTCTGGTGCTCCACTTTGGCCTGCTAATGCTGCTGGTGGTGGTGGTGCTGGTGTCATTGTGTTAGTTTGGGCAAGTTAGTTAGTCCCGGAGCCAATGGAGCATCAGTGGGACTCCCGAGTTCTCCTCCACTTTCCATTGGAGCCCCTGGAGCAGACTACTACTAGCCTAGTGAGCCTATTGCGTCACTGCGCCATTAGTCAGTATCCATCAGCAGCTGTAGTTGCAGTAGCAATTTGCTCAATTAGAATGCGAAGTTCATATTTGCCTATGCGAAAGAGAGAGAGAGAAATAGAAAGAGGACCACCAAGGCTACTGCCACCACCACCACCAGCCCCAGCACCAGCGCCCAAGCCAGTGTGACTGTGTGCCTATCATTACGGTTATTACTTATATTAGTTTAATTGCTCTCCTCGTTGTCGTCGAGGAAGGAACAGTCCTGCTGCTGGTGCCCTCCGTCGTTGCATGGGCGGCCGGTGAGGCAGGGGCAGCTCTCCAGCAGCCCGACAGTGACAGTGCTCAGTGAGCAATGGACTGATGACACAGTGAAATAGAGAAAGAGAAAAAGCGAGGGAAAGATAGGGCAATGCAAGATTGGCATGGTCGCCACTGAAAAGAGAGATGGCCGACCATTCATTCATTCATTCAGTCATTCAGTCGCTCCTTTCACCAGCACCAGCATATCGTTCACTGCTGGCGCGTGGGCGCTGCACATACAACGTGCCCTAGAGTCTCTTTCTTTGCAGCAGTGGTAGCCTATAGAAGCACTTGGCAACGAGTACCGGCGCCCGAGTTCAGCTGCAGCAGCAGCAGCCGCAGTGCATCGGGACCCGAGTGTTTCCACTGTGTAGCAAAGCTGAGCAAGAAAAGCTGTAAGGAAACAGTGAGTGAATGCGTTGGCTACAAACTGTGCTGTCTGCTGCTGCTGTTGCAACTCTCCTCAACTCTCGCTTGGATCGCTCTGGTGACATGAGCTGAGTTGAGCCCTTGTAGCTGCCTCTGCTTTCTCCCTGCTGCTGCTGCTGCTGCTGCTCCACTGAATTAATGCCCAAGAACAAGCTGAAGCTGAAGAGAGAAAGGCCTTCAGAAAGTTGGCCCACCCCTGTGCGTCCGTTTTTGAGCGCCAACTTTGGGTTAACTTAATTGCCATTGTGCATACAGTGGTGGCACTGATAGTGGTGGTGGCAACACATTACAACTCTGTACTCGGTTTGCAGGTTCAAAGCAAGGCTGAGGAAGAAAAACAATGAGCCACCAAATCGATGGGCCAAAGAAGGGAGAGAGAAAGAAACTAATGATACCATGAATAGTAAGGACATTGCTGCTGCTGCCGATGAGAGTCGTACAGTAGTGGTAGTGCCCAGCCATTGCTGGGCACTGGCTGGGCACTGGCTGCTTCTATAGCACTACCGCAGAAGTGGGCAACTGTGCCGGGCCNAGCTGCCGCTGCTTTCTCCCTGCTGCTCCACTGAATTAATGCCCCGCACAGAACGAGCTGAAGAGAGAAAGGTTTTCAGAAAGTTGGCACACCCCTTGGCGTCCGTTTTTGAGCGCCAACTTTGGGTTAACTTAATTGCCATTGTGCATACAGTGGTGGCACTGATAGTGGTGGTGGCAACACATTACAACTCTGTACTCGGTTCGCAGGCTCAAAGCAAGGCTGAGGAGGAAAAACAATGAGCCACCAAATCGATGGGCCAAAGAAGGGAGAGAGAAAGAAACTAATGATACCATGAATAGTAAGGACATAGCTGCTGCCGCTGCTCGTTGAGAGTCGTACAGTAGTGGTAGTGCCCAGCCATTGCTGGGCACTGGCTGGCTGCTTCTATAGCACTACCCCAGAAGTGGGCAACTGTGCCGGGCCAGTACACAGGCCACTCGGCAGGCAGAATTTGCACCAAAATTTGCTGTATAGCTGCTGCTGCTGCTGCTGATTCTGCCCCTCGTTCAAGACCTCCTAGGCCGTGTGCTGCGGAACAGACGTAGAAACAGCAACTTGTCCTTTGCCTACTTTCCTCCCTCCCTTATCTCGCTCGTTTCAATGAGCGGCAAATTTTTTAGCCTACAAAGTATTTGTTTTTATTAACTATTCATGTGCTGTAGTCAGAACACACTGGTGTGGAGAGCACACATTTACTGAGTGGGAGAATGGGAAAGGGAAAGGGAAAAGGAACCAACAGCAGCAGCAGCAGCAGTCAAGGGAAAAGTAGTGCTGTAGTGTTCACGACGCTTCAGAGCTGACGACGACGACGACGACGTGCATGGACACATTAACGAGTGATTGTAACTGTGTGTGTGCGTTCTGCAGAACCAGTCAGTGTAATAGCTGCTGCTGGCTGGCTGGCTGGCTGGTGAACACACAGTCAGTAAGCATTGAGAGAGCAAAAAGAACACAGCAAGCTTTTCAAGCAGTTTGCCAGATCGCAGATTGCCCCAGAGCTGCTCCAGAGCTGCTGCAGCCCTAGAAAAAGCATAAGAGGAAGAGGAAAAAGAAATGAAAAGAAGGAATGAAGGAAAGAAAGCGAGCAGGCAAAGGAAAGCCAGCCAGCCAGCCGTCTGCTGCTGTCTGGTGTCCATTGTAGGACAGTCAGCCAAAAGACAATAAGATAGATAGTCTCTCACTGTGTGTGTGTGCTTTCTTTCTTTCTTTCTTCAGGCAAGCACTGAGACAATATAGCCGAATCAGCCAAGGAGATACAAAGTTGTTACGAGAGAAGAAAAGAAAAAGAAGAGAGAGAGAGAGAGAGAGAACAGTCGATTGCAGTGGCGAGCGCGTCAATTATCCAATTGAAAGCCATTCATTCAAAGATCGCCTGCCGCCGATAGCTGCTGCTGCTTTTTCTGCTCGGAATCAAACTCTCGCACTTCTGGCCACTGTGATCGAACGGTTGAACGTGCTCGAATTTTCTCAAAACAAAAAAAATTAAAACAGACATCAGCAGCAGAATATTGATTGAAGACAGTTAGCGCACAGACACAAACAGTTAGCTCGTACTCGGCCGCTTAATTGCCGCTAATTGAAACGCTCTCTCAATCGTTCTCAACCTACACTGCTCCACTGCATCCACTGAAGCGAGGCTGCCCTAAAGTTCAACGTTCATTTTGATCAAGACACAATAGCGGCAGTTGCCTGAAATAGAGAGGTCTTTTTCTTCAGAAACAGTAATGCGATTACTGCTGCTGCTGCTTNAACACAAACAGTTAGCTCGTACTTAATTGCCGCTAATTGAAACGCTCTCTCAATCGTTCTCAACCTACACTGCTCCACTGCTTCCACTGAAGCGAGGCTGCCCTAAAGTTCAACGTTCACTTTGATCAAGACACAATAGCGGCAGTTGCCTGAAATAGAGAGGTCTTTTTCTTCAGAAACAGTAATGCGATTACTGCTGCTGCTGCTTGGTGCCACCCGAAAGTTTTTACCTTTGGGCAAGATTTTCAATTTAAAAGGTGATGAGGACTGCTGCTGCTGCCTTTTAAAAGCAACTATTCTGTTTATAACAGTTGTGCCCTGTTTTCTCTTCAATTCTTCATAATGGAAATTCTCAGATTTACATTCAGAGCTGCTGCTGCTGCTGCTGCTGCTGGCAGCTGTAGTTGAAAGTGCCTTTTTGAGCGAAAGTGGTTGCTGCAGTTGTCGGCTTCACTGCACAGCTTTTCCATTACTTTTTCGCATTCAGCTCTGATTTATATTTATTTTCTCGGAATTTTTGAATTTATGATTTTGCCCCAACTTGACTACTGAATAATGTATGGACTGGCGATGAAAAAGTGAAATGCCGGACTTTAGAGTTGTAAAAAAAAGTTAAATTGCCAATCGATCAATTTGATTTACCGAGAAGAAGGAGAAGAAGGGGCGATGCTTTGTCAGCCTCCCACCAGATGGCAGATTCAGGTCGCAAAAAATGAAAAAAAAACTTGGAGGCGGATTTGTTTTGATGAAAACAAATCCGAAGCAGCAGCAACAGACGTCAACAACAACTTTTGATCACTTCTTCAAAAAGAGAGATGCACCTTAACAATGAGCGACTTCCTCGAACCTGGTAATGTCTGCGGACAGAATCTGCTGCGAATCGTCTCGCAGGGCAATGCCGTCATCGCCGAGCTGCACCGACTCGCCGACCTGGTGCCGGCGGTCTTTCGCCTGGAGCGGAAGGAGGACCAGCTGGCCTACGGTGAGCTGCTGCCCGACTTTGGCTACTTCAAGCTCTCCGACGCCTTCGACCGCAAGGTGGAGGCCGACGAGCGGCTGCTGGCGAAGGACGAGGAGCTCCGGGAGACGTACATCGAGCTGCTGGCCAAGTTCTACCTCGCCTTTGAGAGCGTCCACCGGTACGCCGTCGACCTGGAGCGCTACCTGGCCGAGCTGGAGGAGGGCGTCTACATTCAGCAGTCAGTGGACTCGGTGCTGCTCGACGACGACGGCAAGCAGCTGCTCTGCGAGGCGCTCCACCTGCTGGGCGTCATCCTGCTGACGCTGGAGCTGGCCATCGAGGGCCCGGTGCGGGAGCGGATGCTGGTCGCCTACTACCGCCACTACTACTCCGCCGTCCGCTCCGCCGCCGCCGCCGACTCGAACATCGACGACGTCTGCAACCTGGTCCGCTCCACCGGCTTCCTGTCCTCCTCATCAGCCACCGCCAAGCGGCCGCCCAACTACCCGGAGGAGCTCTTCAGGCGGGCCAAGGTTCGGCCCGCCTTCGCCCGCCTGGTCATCGGCCGCCTTCGCTCCGACGACCTCTACAACATGATCGCCTCCTATCCGCGGCCGGAGCACCGCTCCACCGGCCTCGCCCACCAGGCGGCCATGCTCTTCGTCTGCCTCTACTTCGCGCCGGACATTCTGCACGGGGAGTTCGCGGTGATGCGCGAGATCGTCGACAAGTTCTTCGCCGACAACTTCGTCCTCTCGGTGTACATGGGCACCATCGTCAACCTGGTGGAGCAGTGGGAGCCGTACCGGGCGGCGAAGGCCGCCCTGGCCAACACCCTGGAGCTGAAGAACGTCCGCTCGGTGGCGGCCAGCCATCGGGCCGCCCTCCAGGAGCTCAACCCCAAGCTGGCCGGCCTGCTGAAGGAGGGCCAGGTCCAGCTGGGCGAGGAGGCGATCCTCAGCCGCGCCGCCGACCACCTGAACACCAGTCGGCGGGCGAATGTGACGCTGCGGTGGATGATGCTGCACACCGTCCCGCTGCCGGGCGCCTTCTTCGGCGCCGAGGGGGCGGCCTGTGTGAAGCGGGCGCGAAGCCTTCGTGAGGCGATCGTCGCCGAGCTGAAGTTCAACCCGCTGGAGCTCTTTCGCCTGCTGCTGAACACCTCGGAGTTTGAGCTGCGCCTGCGGGAGCGCTATCGGGGGCTGCTCAGCGACCGGCAGGCGAAGCTGGCGGAGTACCGGCGGGAGGCGCACGAGCGGATCGCCGAGCTGGCGGAGGTCTTCGGCGGAAGTCGACCGCTGAATCGGCTGGAGCCCAGTGAGGAGCTGCAGCGCTGGTTCACCGCCTTTGCCGGCCAGATTGCCGAGCTGCAGTTTCCAGCTGAAGAAGCTGAAGAAGGTGGTGGCGGTGGTGGCGGTGGTGGTGGCGGTAGTAAAAGTCAACAACAGCGCACCTCCCGGCGAATCATCGCCCTCATCAAGGCGCTCGAGGAGGTGCAGGAGTTTCAGCAGCTGGAGGCGAACATGCACGTGAAGCAGTTCCTCGCCGAGACCCATTCCCTCCTCCACCTGATGGTGAAGACGCTGAGCATCCGCGAGGAGGTGCTAGTGACCGCCCAGCTCATCGCCGACCTCAGCTACGCCTGGCGCATCATCGACCACTGCTTCACGCAGTTCATGCAGGACGGCATCAAGGGCGACCCCGGCCTGGTCGCCCAGCTCCGCGCCGCCTTCCTCAAGCTCGCCTCCGCCCTGGACCTGCCCCTGCTGCGCATCAGCCAGGCCGCCTCGCCCGAGCTGGTGGCCGTCAGTCGGTACTACTCCTCGGAGTTGGTCGCCTACGTCCGCAAGGTGCTGCACATCATCCCCGAGACGATGTTCGCCCTGATGGCGAGCATCATCCAAATTCAGACCAGCAGCCTGAAGGAGCTCCCCACGCGGCTGATGAAGGACCAGCTGCGGGCGTATGCGCAGCTGGAGGAGCGCCAGCAGATTGCCCAGCTGACGCACTCCATCTCCGTCTTCACCGAGGGCGTCCTGGCGATGAAGACCACCCTGGTGGGCGTCATTCAGATTGACCCGAAGCGGCTGCTGGAGGACGGCATCCGCCGGGAGCTGGTCCGCCAGGTGGCGCGGGCCCTCCACCGGGGGCTGCAGTTTTCCCCGGCGGCGGCGACGTCCTACTCCTCCTCCTCCTCGAAAAATGCTTCCTCCACGGCGGTGGCCGCCGCCGCCGCCGAGCTGCACAGCAAGCTGGCCGCCCTCCTCCAGGTGATGAACGGCTACCGGCGGTCCTTTGAGTACATCCAGGACTACGTCTGCATCAACGGCCTGAAGATGTGGCAGGAGGAGCTGTCGCGCATCGTCAACTACAACGTCGAGCAGGAGTGCAACGCCTTCATGCGCCAGAAGGTGCTCGACTACCAGTCGCTCTACCAGTCGCGCGCCATTCCCATTCCCGTCTACCTCCCCCTGGACCCCTACTCGCTGACCTTTGTCGGGCGGCTGGTTCGGCAGATTACCCGCTTATCGGATCCGAAAGCGACGCTGTACGTGTACCCGCTGTCCGCCTGGTACGACGCCCGCTCCCGCCTGGAGGTGCTCGACGGGACGAAGCTCTTTGGCAACATTCTGGTAAGAAGTGCTGCTGCTGGGGGTGTTTTTAGTGGTGGAAGGTTTCGGGAAGGTTTTAACCCATGATTTTCTTGCTTTCCCTATTTACTTTTTTTTTTTGCAGAAGTGCCTCGGCNCTCGGCGTCACCGGCACCAACGGCATCGACCGCCTGCTCTCCTTTCAGATCGTCGCCGAGCTGAACAAGGCGCTGGGCGAGATTGACGGGCACTTTACGCGAAACAAGAGCATCACCGACTGCTTCGCCCAGATCAGTGGCTGCCTGAGCAGTGAGACGCCCAACGGCATCATTACCTGTAAGTTTTGCTGAATGAAGGAATCGATGCCCACTGCACCCAACCCTTGCCTTTCTTAACTAACAATTAAAACACTCTTCTCACCCCCTTTTAGCGAAGAGCTTCGTCGCCTACTACCTGCCGCTGGTGAGCCGCCTCTCCAAGGTCTTCGCCCGCCTCGCCGAGTCCATCGGCCGCATCGGCCAGCTGCAGCTACTTCGCCTGAGTCTGACCTACGAGCTGGCCACGGCCAGTCGCTTCCAGGCCCGGCAGCTCTCCTCCGCTCTCAGCGCCCTCAACGGCGCCCTCCTCACCGAGCTCTCGCAGCAGCAGTGCCTCATTGCGAACCAGGCCACCACAGCTGGCGCCGCCGCCGAGGCGCAGCCAGCGCTGATGACGCCCTCGCCCTCCTCCTCCTCCTCAAACGTCCTCCTCCTCAAGGAGGAAGAAAGTCCCCTCCTCTTTGAGCTCTCCAACTACCTCGAGTACAACGGCCTCTCCGACCCCCTCCTCAAGGTGTACCTCGCCCGGCGCCGCCTGCCCGCCCACCTGGACACCGTCCTCCTCCTCCTGCTCATCGCCCAGCTGCCCAAGTTCGTCTACGTGAGGGAGACCAGCGCCCTGGGGCCGACCGCCGCCAGTCTGAAGGCGGGCGACGCCGTCGACGGCACTCCCTTCGTGCTGGGGCTGCTCACGCTGCTGCGCCAGTTTCACGGCGAACTGGCCAGCCAGTTCCTTCGCCTCTGCTCGCAGCTGGCCACCGCCCTGGCGCCCGAGACGCCCGCCGCCGCCGCCGCCGCCCAGGCCTCCAAGCAGCTCGGCGGCCCGCTGGAGGCGGCCAACGTGCTGCAGTTTCTGCAGCACTTTGCCCTCTTTGGCGGCTACAGCCGTCGGCAGATTGGCGAGTACCTGCCCGCCGTCCTCCTCGACCACTTTCACTCGCTCAAGCTCTGAGCCTAGCTCAAACATTGTGAAGGAGTGCGCAAAGTATGTGATATCCCCCCCCCCTTCATAAAAAAGAGAGGAAAAAGTTGTAATATCATCATCATTATCAAGTGCTGTTAGTTAGAGGTATCTGCTGCTGTCTGAAAGCTGATCAGTAGAGTGTGTGGTGTACACTGTACAGCAGCAACGGCGAGGGATGATAAGAGAGAAGCACGGGTCGTCCTTCGGCGTGCTGTTTTCTTGCAGCTCGGCTAACAGCTCACTTCAGTAGCGATAAAAGGGGCGAATAAGAGAGAATATTGCACGACTGTTGTGTTGCACTTGTTTCACTTGTTTGGTGGTTGGTTCATGATCATTGCCACATTGCATCTGCTTGACTAGACGGAGGAGGAGGAGTGAGTGTGTGTGAATGTTATCACCCTCCCCTCCCCTCCCTTCCTCCTAAGCATCCTTAGACTCATTTTTGAACATTGTGAAAATCTTGATTAGATTGTCCAGGCCAAAGACGAAGCCTTCATCGTAATCGTGCTGCTGCTGCTGCTGCTGCTGTTGCTTCGGCTGTGAGCACGTTGAGCTGCTGCTGCTCGTGCAATCATCATCATTACTGGTAGCTGAAGTTGTCGTCGTCGTCGTCGTCGTCGTGTCACTCGAAGACACGGGCGGCAGACTGCTGCCGTCGATGTGCTGGTGGGTGGAGTGGGCGAAATCAATGACACGAACGTCAATCAGCTTGTCAAGGTCAAGGTGGTCGTGCTGGTGGTGGTGGCAGTGCTGCTGATGGTCTCCTCCTCCAGTGCTGCTCGAGGAACCACCACCATCGGCATCTTCGGCCTGCTGCATGCTGCTGCTGCTGCTGCTGCTGCTGCAGGTGTTGCCCTCGTAGATGAGCAGCAGCGAGCTGGTGTAGAAGCGGAATGTGTCCAGCTGGGTGATCACCGCCCGAAGTGCCTGCAGCCGCCCAATGAGCCTCTCCAGCAGGCGGTGCGCCACAAAGTTCTCCGTGGAGACAAACTGGCGCAGCGAGGCGCGAAAGCCCTCCGGCGTCAGCTTCCGCCCGTAGTACTTGTTGTAGCAGATGAAGCGGTCGAGGCTCTTGTCGTAGATCTGCTCATTTGGGATAGAAAGTTATCGAGGTGGACGAGACATAAGAGAGAGAGAGAGACAGTTAAAAGACAGGACTGGGGACATAGAGAAAAGTGCGCGCTTGAAAAAAAACTGTACCTGAATGCCGGTGATGCGCAGGCCAAGCGCCCCCGAGGTGGTCTCGTTGACCTTCGACTCGTGGCTCTGCTTCTTCGTCTCCGTCGCATTGTCGTCGTGCAGACGGGTGCCCATCTTCAGGTCGATAATGCAGGGATACTCAAAGTTGGCCACCAGGTTTTCCAGCATTATGAATCCTGAAAAGAAGAAAATAAAATTAGATTGGTTAGTTCGGTTTTAAAAAAAAACAGATCTTTCTCTTACGCTGCTCCTTCATGGAATCGCTAAACTCGCTCAGCGCCGACATGGTCTTCAGCACCCAGGGATTGTGTTTGGTGGTGGACTTGTTGCTGTTGCTGCTGTTGTACAGCGAAGAGGAGGATGAGGAGTTCTTTGCTCTTGAAGGCGACGAGGCGACACTCGACTGGCTGCGGCTAAAGGAAGGAGGAGGAGGAGGAGAGGGAGGGAGAGGTGGTGAACTACTACTTTTGTTGCTGTGGTTCTTGCTCTTATGATGGTGATGACCACCCGCACTTCCGAAGCCANGGGAGGGGGAGAGGGAGGTGAACTACTTTTGTTGTTGTGGTTCTTGCTCTTATGATGGTGATGACCACCCGCACTTCCGAAGCCATTCACACCATTCTGACCGGCTTCAGAGGTGAATGAAGTGGAAGTGGTGGTGGTGGTGGTAGTGGTAGAAGTAGAAGTGGAGGTGGTGGTGGTGGTGGTGGTGGTGAAGGCGAATAAGGGGTTATCAAAGAGTGTGCTCAAGTCAGTCTGGTTAAAGAAATTACCATCCTCAAAGTTGGGAATGGAGATGGAGGTGGAGCGCGACCGCGACAGATTACCGATCGACGCAGTGCTGCTCATCACGGTGGGCGTGCTCATCACTCCGACGCTACTACTTCCCGCGCCTATGCCGCCCACCGAGTAGCTGCGCTCAAAGCTGCCGACGGCCCCGCCACCGGAAGAAGCAGAGGCAGCAGAGGCAGAAGCAGCAGCATTAGTTCGACTGAGCAGAAGGTGCTCCAGCTGACGCTTCGAGCTTTCCAGATCGAGCGCCACGGCCACGTCCACGTTCTCCACGTCCTGCTCGTGCGACTCGATGATGATCTCGCGCAGCGGCCGACACAGCTTGATGCGGTACTTGGTGACGAACTTCTGGTACGGCGAGCTGGGCGACTGCGCCAGACAGGCATTGCTGCTGGTGCTGATGATCTGGTTGACGCTGCTGCTGCTGCTGCTCGAGTTGGCGGTCAGACTGTTGCTGTTGTTGTTGTTTGCTGCTGCTGCTGCTGTCGTCGCTCCCGGTGAGCTCTGGTTCTGGTCGCCCTGACAGTGCAAGCCCGATGACTTGGTCGTGATCATCAGGTAGCCGTCGTTGTTCTCCGCAAAGTTGACCGCAATGA